GCCTGGCTGCATGCCCTAGACTGTGGGAACCAGATTCCTGGGCAGGAGGGCCCTCAGGGCCATTCCAGGTGGTGCTCCGTTGCCGCCCAAGTGTCTGGTCTGGGCAGAGCTCTAGGCAAAGTTGAAGAGGCTGGTGGTTGAGTCTGCATTAACCTGCAGAGAACATGCGTGGGCATTTATAGGAACTTGTTCTCTGGAACACTGAAGATGTTTAAAAGACTGTCTGGCATCTTTTCCTGAGGACACTTTTATGAAAGATTTAGAAACTTACCAGGAGTGAGAGTCAGGCCAGGCTTGGGAAAATTTCAGGAATTTGGGCAGCTTCATTCAGAAAACAGCTGCTCATTTGGAAAACGCAGTAAAAACCTCATCAGGGCGATTCTTCACACCCAGTTCCTCCCAAGCTAACTTCAACATGCTTTTAAGAAGTTTTTGAAATGAGTGACTCCAAATCTATGATGATGCAACTCTTCTTAAAACAAGGTAATAAACTGAAAAATCTTTCAATTAGGCCCAATTCTCTTTTCTTGAAGAACATGCCAGTTATATAATTTTGCCAATAAAATCCCTTTAAAATTGTAATTAAATACTATTTATCATAATAAATTGTATTTTTAGAAATCATTGTTGTATCCTGATTATATATTTATTTAAAATTCAGAGTCCCAAAATGCTTGAAAAATCTAATCTCCAGTATGCTAAAACACAGCTTAACAGTAATAAGACTTGGGCTTTTACAACCCTATGGTAATATGAAATAATATATGTAATCTGAAATTTATACTGATGGTTATTAAGTAGGGTAATTTGAGGTAGCATTTGTTTCTAATGAAGCAGATACATAGTGCATATTTTTAAACATTTTTTACTTTGGATCTCTGCTTTTACCCAAATAAATCTCTAAATTCACCACACATTTTATAGATAGCTTTCTATGAAAAAGAATAATAAAACTGGTTTTCCTTGTTCAATACATTGTAAAAAATGGTTCTTATTCTTTGAAAAGACATACTTTGAAACAGTTCGTGTTTTTCCTTGAGGGGAGAAGATAATTATAGCTGTTATGGGGGAATGCTAATTAGTACTAATAACTTACAGAGCATAAAAGGGCACTGTAAGGATCTGGTTTGAACAAAGAATTATATTTTTGTCAATCTTGATTAACAGTATATTACATCTAGAGGAATAAAATCCTTTTTTGCAAAGCATACTCTGGAGGGAAAAAATAGTTAAAATACTTATTAATGTTTGCAATTTACAACATGGATAGGATATACCCTTCCTTCAGGCTTATAAAAAAAAATTACTTCAGGCCTTAACATTCATCTCAAGACCCCAGAAGATGCCTAAAACCATGGTTAGTACTGAACACTATATGTCCTGTTTTTTTCCTAAACATATGTAAGTTTAATATTATTCCATCTAAACTAAGCACTTATCATGCATGGTGGCCATGATGGAGCTACATCAGCAAAAGTAGCAGGCATTTCTTCCTTCTTCACAATTTCACAGAAGATTTGTTCTTACTGTAGATCTTAGCAACCTGTTTATGACTTTTTTGTTTTCCAAGTTGAATACTTTCACCCTTTTACCTAAAGCAGGCACTTTACAAGTTCCCTTTGGTGTCTAAATTGCCAGCCTCACTACTCTTGGGGTTTGGCACCAGAAGTAAGTAAAATAAGGGTTACTTGAACACAAACACCGCAGTACTGTGGCAGTACATCTGATAACCAAGATGGCAACTAAGTGACCAACAGTTGGGCAGCATGTATGGTGTGGATTCACATCCCGGATGGGATAAACTGAGGTAGAGCAGAATTTCATCACACTACTCAAAATGATATGCATTTAAAACTTACTGTTTATTTCTGGAATTTTCCATGTAATAACACTATTCGGAATGGTATATATCTGAAACTTATGAATTGTTTATTTCCAAAATTCTCCTCGTAATATTTCTAGATCTAGGTTGGCCAAGAGTAACTGATGCTATACAAAGTAACACTTCAAAAGGAAAGAGTGCTGCTATATTCCATTTTGTGTAGTTCCAATCTCAAACTCTTATCTAAACTGAGAATAACTTTTTGATGTGATAGATTGACTACCTAAACCTGTCTCAAGTTCATTTAATGAAATTGAAGGCACATGAAGTACCTTAGCCCAGTGTCATCAATGTGCTCTGTGGCCTGGTCCCTGTGGGTATGCATGCATGTCACTGGGTACATGTTTTCCTTCAGTAATTCGTTCCATTCGGCTGAGGCACAGGCCTGGGCATCACAGACTGCATCTTCTCGCCATGTTGGTCTGAGATGTGAGAGACAAGCGTGTTTTCTCTGGGTCACCATCAAAGTGTCTTCACCATGCCATCTGTTTGGAATGAATAAAATTCTGACAGTATACCAAGTGGTAACTGCTGCTCAAAATAACATTGTAGCTAAAGGTAAGAACTTATAGATGTCCAACAGTAATGTAAGGGGCAATATAAATATAGCACATTTATTATTCAGATGCTCAAGTCTGTGTGTTACTGAAAATCTAACTTTGGTGGATACATACCTCTGCATAATATGAAAATCAATTTGTAGGACAATGATTGACATTAGCTTTGTTTTTTTGGTGTTTTTTGTTGTTGTTTTAGGTTTGGGTTGTCTTGGGAAGGCAGTATTCAATATCTCAGAGCATATGTTATCTTTAAATTACAAGGGTCTATTTACATGTTGAAAATTAATGGGTCTATTAAATGTGTACTCCTCTAATCAGATTGTTGTTAGCTTCTTGAGATATATGCATTTTTTTAAAAGAGAGAGAGAGAGAGAGAGATTTTTTTAATATTTATTTTTTAGTTTTCGGCGGACACAACATCTGTTTGTATGTGGTGCTGAGGATCGAACTCGGGCCGCACGCATGCCAGGCGAGTGCGCTACCACTTGAGCCACATCCCCAGCCCAATATATGCATTTGGAACTAACAGAATTGAAGATTTTTAATACTCTAAAATTCTTAACTTCCATGAGTTCCACCCATCATGACCCCATTTATTATGAATGAGAGTGATTTGACACATCAATATAAAAATTGGAATTTATGGGACTGCTCTAGTTTCTTATGATATATTATTTTATCCATGAGGGATTAATTAAATGTTTACATGTAACTTTATATTTAAACTTATGCAAAAATTTTCACAGAAACTGGGGAAGATTTCCTTTATCAGTGTACTTATACAAAAGTTTGGTTTGGCAAGCAAAATAATTGGATGTAAAGAATCTCATTTAAATTAGAGATTTAGTTACCAGTCATATTTATGACTCAACAGGAGTCAATGAAGGAGAAAAATTTGAATATTTATTTTGTCCCCGAGTTAAAAAATCAAGAAAAGTCACCGCTGCTGTCTCTTTTGCTCCATCTGCCTGGTGTCTCCTGGAGCAGTGTTTCTAGCGTTCTGCAGTATGAGGATGCAGATTCCCAGGAAGCCTCTGTAACATCCTGCACAGACTTGAAGTAGGTTTTGAGCTGCTCAAAATGATCCACGTGCTATGCAGATTTAAAATGTGATTATCCACTTTCTGGGTAGTTATCTCTAGACCCAGAAGAAAAGGTAAGAGAACTGAACCAAAATATATCAACTATGTTTAGAGGTAGGTAGAAAGAATTTTAATTGAAAAATGGCAGAAAATTAGAAGAAAAAAAAAGATTTTTAAAACGATATACCTGTGTAACATTACAGAAACACACACACACACACACACACCCCAAAAAAACAAAAACGAGGTTATGTTCCTTGAGCTGGTTTGAGGGCATCAGCTAGATGTAAAGTGGATGACATCAGGAATTTTGAAAGAAAGTGTCCTTTACCAGGAACAAAGAGTCGTGGTGACTGCCACACAGCCAAATGGAAAGAAATGGAAGAAAGGGCTTGGTTGAAAAGTGGGATAGAAAGTAGCAATGAGCTATACACACACTTTGTTCTAAAAATGAAGAAAACATAAAATGAAAATGGGGGTCATCAGCCTGGTTCTGGGTCCTAAGCTTTCAGGGAGAAAAGCAAAGCCTACCCACTTCATGTCTGCATGTGCCACATCCCACAGATTCAACCAACTCAGGGTAGAAAATATTAAAAACAAAATCTGTATTGAACCAGTAGATTTTGTCACTATACCTTAAAAACAATACAGTATAACAACAATTGGTGCAGTATTTACACTGTATGAGGTCTGTAAGTAAGCTGGAGATGGCTTAAAGCAGGTTTGTATACAAACACTCTGCCATTAATTATAAGGTACTTGAACATGGGCAGATTTCGGCATCCTCAGGGTGTCCTGGAACCCACAATTGAAGAGTGTTCTAGCCCCAGGCTGATAATGCAAGCAGCTACTTCATTTGGACAAAATCATCTTTTCAATCACTCTTTAAAGAATAAATTCCAATGCACGCTCAGAATTACTCAAAATATTAGTTCTCGTCATTTTGATTATGAAAGCCAGTTTTAACATCAACATGATTTGTGGGCAGGCAGTACAAAACTTGCTCAGTAACTGTGTTTCTCTACCCTCTTTATATGCACAAACACCCAACATCTTGGTAAGATGGCAACCCCTCACTATTAGCAAAAGTTGAAATTTCATCCATCCACAGACACAAGACACATACTTTACAGATTTTGGTGCTGATTCTAGTTTCATGGCTGGCATAACTATTCTCAACAGTCACCCCTTAGCTTCATATAGAGAGCATTAAGCCCTGACTTTTCACTATCTATAGATAGTTCAAATTTTGTTACAACACACAGAGAAAACCTACCCAAATGCTACAAACGTGTTGGAACTTTGGATTAGGCATTGTTTGAACTAAGGGAGTCATTTACAAAGGACTGGGGCTCTTTCTACACTCTAGAAGTTAAGTGGTGTGGTATTTACAAGGGCTCATGTCCATACTGTCTCCTTTCAGAGGTTAAAATTCAAAAACTACCCTCCCCAAAAATAAAAAGTTAGAGAAAAAGCTGAAGTCAAATTTATTTTTATTACCTTTGCCATTCAATGAATAAAAATAATTAAACAGATAATAATTAAGATAAAATGACTCCAGTACTCTTTTCCAGAAATCTATACAATATCGTTCAAACTCTTTATTTGACTTTTACTTTTTTTTTCATGTTTTCTCCTTCATTCCAGAAAATTAAACTCAAGTATAATGTTCATGAACATAGAAACCAGGACATTTATTTTTAAAGGTCATTTTCAATTTCTACCTTCTTTTGCAGATTTCAAAAATTAAGTATTATGAAAAATTCACCCTTGGCATTCTCAAAAACACACATCACATCTCTCGATGAATTACATTTCTATAATAAAATTCTGCATCCTTTTACATTTCTTTTCAGTAGAAGGAATGTATATTTTGATATTAATATTTTCATTTAAAATTCAGATTTTTGGCACAGAGTCCTAGGCTTGTGGCTTTCAGATTGCCTTCTCCATTGCTTTCCACTGACCAGCCTAGGTTTGCTGGGAAAGACTTGTGCTCTTACAAACCTGACTCTTCTGTACCCTCCTCCCTGTCTCATGTAAGCCACCTGCAGTATTCCCAGATTTTAGAACATAAGAAACAAGGAAAGACGTTTTCTCCATGTTGATGGGGGTGGAGGAGGGGCTGCAGAAGGGCTGCTGAGGACTGTCTCTTTCTGTTTAATTTATTCATGTTCCTCCCCCTGTCATACTTTGGCCACTTGTACCCTTTGCTGGGTGTGGAAAGTTTCTAATATGAAACCAAGAAAGTATATGAATGGCTTCATTTAATATCTAAGCCCAGAAATGTAGAGTCTTGTCGCAGGTAAATTTTAAAGAGGGATTATTCGGGGGGGGGGGAGTGACAATTCAATAAAATCTGCAGTTTAAGAGACAGAGATTCAAATATTCCTTAATGATTACATTCCACTTCCTTCTGCCCTACTTCTAAAAAGTACTCCAATGAGTAGAATCCAATTGTATATGAAGAATTTGAGTCATTGCATTACTGAAAGTGAAGAGGTAAATTATAGATTAGTGCAAAAAAGGAAAAAAAAAATAGGATTCCCACATTCTCCAAAGTGCTTCCTGAACAAAAGTCAAAGCCTGGAATCTTACCAATCTATTAAACATTAGAATACTGTTTTTAAAAACATTCATCTTTGTCTGCTTGACCTGGGCTCCAAATTCTAGAATGTTCTACAGAAAAATTCTATTAAAGCAGGTGGCCATAGATGGGTGTGAAAGGAATCATCTGCATCCTCCTCCCAGTATTGCACAATGTAAAACCCACCACCACCTAATGATAAGCAGGTGCTACCCTATCTCCTTACCATTGGCCACAGGAGCGCTTCCAGGGTGGGGCTTCTAAACAGCTGCCACCAAATCCATCAAATACAATAGGCTGATTTTTGTCCCTGGAAGAATTTCTCTTTGCACCATGAAAAATATCAAAAAAGAAGGGGAGATGGAACTTATATGTCACCCCCAAACACATGATTCACAGATGAACAATTAAGAACAGTAACTCTGATTGTTTCACAAGAGTGTGGGGTGTCTAGACCACACGCTGGGAGCCACATCACTCCCACCTGATTGTGTTCCCAATTCATTAGTCATGAGAAGCCTCAGTTTGGGGCTTTGCTCCTCCTTTACCAACAGGTCCAACAGCTTCGCTCTCAGCACAGGGAGAGGCCTCTACCTGAGCTTAGGATTCACCCTTTAGAAACTGACCACTGACCCTCAGAAAGATGCTCTAGGAACTTTTAGTGCCATTCACTTAAAAACTGACCCACTATGGACATATATATATTTTTTTTCATAAATAAAATTTGAGGCATACATGTAATATATTAAAATTTCCACCAACAAGGGTGTGTTAAAATTTTCAAGTTCTGTTGTTCAAGTTCGATTTTTAAAGGCACGCTTTTTTTTTCCTTCAGTCTTGCATTGAGTACAATTTGCAAGCCACAAGTCACAGAAGAGATTTTTGCGGGACTAAACTTTCTTTGATTTCCCCCTTCTTGGGATAAACATTCTTCCCATCAATCACTATTGACTCTACCATCCAAAGACAGCATTCAGATAGGGGATTTTAAAGGGATTCCGCCGTTGCTTCAGGTATGGGAGAGAGAAACCACAGCTTTGCTGGGTCAGTCGCCCCTGCTCTCCCTTGGCCATTTCCATTAGGGCTTTTCACTCCCAAATCGGGCTTTCTGGTTTCCGGGTTCGGATGCCCTGCGGACCAGCCTCGGAGGAGGCCGGGGTGGCACGTCTTCAGTCAAACTGTCTTCCCTGCCACGGCCAAAGCCGTCCTTGGAGAGAAGGGGCTGGCGCAGTACGCCTGGCGTCTGGGTGCCCCCCTCTTTGCTGCGGGGTGCTGGGGACGGGATGGGCTGCCCTCGGCCAGAATCTCCATCTACCTCGTTCTTCCATTCCATCTTATAGGACTGGGAGGCTTTCTTGGAGAACTGTTCTGGCAAGAAGCGCCTGGATCGGGGTTGCAAATTAAGCGCGGTGGTCCCGGTGTCTACGTCTGAGTCGCTGCTATTGCCATCTATCACAGAGCAAAAGGATAGCGTGAGCAAGCATTTCGGGGGGGAGAGGGGTGTCACAAGTGACCTCAGTACCTCAGTGGGTCTGGCAACTAATGCTCCCTGGGGAGAAGGGGGGAGTCAGAAAGCTCGCTTTGACTTAAGCTTAGGTCCTATCTGTCACCTGAGAGCATTCCTGTCCACTAGGCTAATTTTGCCAGGCATGGGATCATAAGCACTTTAATATGCACCACTCTTTTAATCCTCATGCTCACCCAGTTTACAAATGGAGTAACTGGGTTAACAGAAAGCACTGGAGCTGGAATTCCAACTAAGGTCCTCTGGCCAGTGGTGATTATGTGCTCCCAGGCACCATAGGAATGGCCCCTCTGGGCTCAATTCCCCCTGGCAGTTAGATTGCCATCTGCTGGTATGAAGAGCTTGCCCTCGTTCTAGGATCTCAGGCACAGTTTTGCTGGTTTCCTTTACATTTCCATGAAGGACCCAATCATTGATATGCACTTTCTAAACTAACTGAGGAGGCAGGATTAGGAGGAGATTCCTGGGCTAGAGTTTGGTGGGTAGGATAGTTGAGAGGATGGGCTGCTGGCTCTGAGCTGATTCTTAGGATTCTAGAACATCTTTGCAGGACACAGCGGTACCATAGCCCATGGACACACACAGTCCTGTGGCCTTGTCTTCCCCTACCCTCCCTTCTCATTTCTCACCTCGCCCTCCATTATCACCAGCAATCCTTAGACTTTCCTCTTCTTGGTTAATTAAACAAACAAGCAGGAAAAAAAAAAAAAAGCAAAGGGTTTTTAATTATTGTTACATCCCACACTTGAATAACACGGAATCCTAATATACTTTTGGGATTCAAAGAAAATAGCTTGGGGGTCTACATAAAGATTACCATCAAATAAAGAGATATCAGACCTTGTGAGAAAGCTTTAACAACTGCAGTCAGAAGTAAAATATGCGGTTGCCTCTATGAAAATATATTAGAATTATTGTAAAACTAAACACACATTTTCAGACCTGCAGCTTTCTATTGACCTGCTCAATAACTCCATAGTGACAATATTTGATTTTACTATATCAAAGAATCATTATGGAAGATAAGTAATTGAAATATTTATAACTGATACAAATCAAAAAGGCTAATAAAAGGTCACTGTTATTATTTTATACTTTAAAATGATGGAACTCATCTTTAACGAAGAAAAACAGCAGGAAAATTTCTCTATTTTATAAGCATTAGTAAATGAATCTAAAGTATTTCTGCTCTGGTTATATTCATTACCTGCATTAGAAATATTCTTTTTCTTTTGTAGCTTTTCTGGAAGCTTTGTATTTTTGGGTAAGGATAAATATCTGGATGTTGAAGTGGAAGCCTATAAGAAAAATAGAAAACCTTGTTTAGATTACATACATAGTATTTATTGTAATACTAGAAGTCAAAACTTTTATAGCAAAACTTGGTTTTTAAATAAAATCTTAATTCTTCATTCCAAAATTACTTTTGAGGAATATTGTACTTTTAAGTAACCAGATTCCTTCCCAAACCATGCTAATAAAAATAGAACTAATGGGACCATTCGAAACAAGATGAGAAAACCACTTATTCTTCTTAAAAGAAAATCTACAGGAACACTTATTTATGAGGTATTACCAGAAAGACTTAAAACCTATCTGTATGGGGAAGAAGGTATATAAAATGTGTGGTATTATTTAAGTTTTATTTACTTTAACAAATCTTGAAAATGATAGAACAAAAAATGTTCCAAAATCTCATTTACTGAACTTCTGAATGCTAGTCTTCAGATTTGCTACAGGTTCTGTAATTAACTTTTAATTGACATTAGATTTTATGTGGAAAAAAAGATAAATCTCCTTATTCACACATAATCATTTTAATCTCTGGTGACCCAATATTGAATATTTATTATTAAAAATAAGACATAATGCCTGTCATGTTAATAAATTATCAGAACATTTTAAAATGGCTTTCATATCTATTGGCAATGACCCGAACCAACTGGACTGCTGCAAATTGCACTATGACCGCTCATGTCCCCAGCCACTCCAGGCTTCCTGAAGTTCCCCAGTGAACACATGGGCTTGCCCAGCTTCTGCCCTTTGCATCTAGGCCACCTCCCTCCAGAAAGTCAAATACAGTCATGTTCCACATAATAGCATTTTGGTCAAATGTCAATCCCATCTGTGACACTGATCCTTAAGATTATTTTGCCTAGTGACATTTTAGCCACCTTAGTTTGTGTAAGTACACTCTATGATGTTCTTGTACCAAAACTGCCTAACTACCAATGTCTCAGAAAAAATGCCCTTTGTTATATGGCTTCAAATCATACCATTTTCCAGTCACAGAAGCCTAGCTTAGCCATTCTGATTAAAATTGAAAACTGTCTAATCCCTGTATTACCTTATCTCTATGTATCTATCTATCACCTTTGAGCATAACAAATAATCTACTTTGATTCTATTCTCCTCTAGGATACTAGAAATCTTACAAGAATAAGAGTCTTTGTAAATTTTGTTCACTAATATATTCCCTGTGCCTATGCCTATGACAGTGTCTTCATGTAATAGGTGTTCAAGAAACATTTGAAGAGACTTTATTTTGTCATTTTCTCTCTCTCTCTCTCTCTCTCTCTCTCTCTCTCTCTCTCTCTCTCTCTCTCTCGAAAGGTCTCAATATGTTGCTCAGACTGGCCTTGAATCCCTGTGGATTCAAGCCATCCTTCTGAGTAGCTGGGACCACAGGTGCATGCCACTGTACATGGAGAAATATTTTTATCATTAATTTTGCCCCTGAATTCCTGGGAGTCAATCCTCAGCAGTCATCCAATCAAAAGAGTCAATGACTCTATGGGCTGATTGGCTCCACCCATGGAAGCCTTCTGCACACAGAGACACCATATCAATTACCCTGCGCTCTCGATTCAAGCTGTTGTCTTTCCTGATGCTTTCACGCAAACTGTGCCTGCGGCGGATCAGAATCTCTTTGGCTTGTCTCTCGCTGGTGTCTGCTGTCAAATTGTGTCTGTTGTACGACAAAGTCTGAAATGAAAACACACAAGTGACACTTTACCAAAAGATGGATGATTTCCCTCAGAAATTTCAAAACTTTACCACACTGGTGGGGATTTACACCTCAGTAACAACTTCCATGCAGACTGAACAAAACAAAATTAAAGTCCTGGAAGAATTCAGTCTTTCATAAAAGTCAGTGAAGAAAGTTTTTCATTGAAAAGTGTGATCTTTCAAAATTAGAAAAATGACTGAATTTGCCAAGAGCCCCTGTCTATCTTCAATTGCCTTGCATTAGCTCAGCCATCACCAAAGCTAGGGGGGAAAAAGATCATTTTCACACATTCTCTATTGGACAGGAATTACTGATATAAAAACAAACTACTTTGAGCCACTTGGTGGTGCCATGTCCTTTTGATTAACTTCACAACTGATCCTTTATTCAACTAGGTTGTCACATTGAGAAGTTGTTAACACCACCAGGAATTGTCATGTTCCAGTTTGTGGAAGAGTGAAATTTCTAAACTAGGGATGTCCAAGTCATCTGTTTTTAGTTTCATAGGCTACACAGAAATATGTTTCCTGAAATAAATCATAATTATTAAGGAAGTTCATTTTCTGGTAGAATTGACATGTACTTCATGAGAATATCCCTGTGTCCACAACAATGTCAGGAACTGTGGAGACATGCAAAGGTGACATGGAGTAAGACTTATCTTGTCTGCTGCCTTGAGGTGCTTATAAACTAGTTGGGCATCTAAGTGTAGCAAAAAAAAAAGAAAAAAGAAAAAAATATATAAAATTAAGTGCCGAAATCACTGACACCTAGTTCTATCTCATTGAAGGGCAGGACTAGAAATAATATGGTGTTTTTTCGGGGGAAAGAAACTTAATTTGATTCGAGGCTATGAATCAGCTGACAGGAAACAGGACATGTCCATGCGGGAAGATCAAGAGTGGGCACCACACAGGCCAAGAGGAGGACTGAACCTGTCACTCCACACCCTCTGGTGTGCCTGGTAGAGCTTAAAAATAGAGACCCTAAGTTTTGAAAAAATATTGTACCCAAGAAGCCACGGCTACTGTTTTGCTTCACTTTCAATAGGATAATGCTGCCACAAAAGATGGTTTCAAGGATGCACCTAGAATGAAGGCAGTCTTCAAGGAGGCCATGCCTAAGAAGCTGCAGGCATGGCCCCCAGAGGAATGAGGAAGACCCCTGGCAAGCCTGTGTGGCCCAGGTTCAACTCCCTGTGCCTCGGTTTACTTTTTCATTTGTGAAGTAGAGATGTTAGCAACACCTATCGCTTGTCATGGGAATAAAGGGATTGACAAAAGCAAGTCGCTGAAGTGGGACTTGGCAAATCGTACCCCCTCTCTAAACATCACCAACATCATCAGCCCTCGAGTGGAACTGGGTGTCAGCAATGGAAACTCAGTGAGAGAAGTAACTTGAAAGATACAACAAAGGACGGAAACAAGAGCACTTCATGGGTAACAAGGAGGATCCAAAACATTTAGAAATCCAAGGTATAACGCTGTTTCCTTAAAAAAAATCTATCAACTCATTTCTTCACAACTGTTCAGTGTGTATTTCTTATCTCCAAGACCCCAGTAGCAGAAGGCTTGAAAGCTTTAGCTACGTGTCCAAGAGGATGGTGGGACCTGGACCAGATGGGGGTGCGGTGAATGGGGGATCTGAGAAAAGAGGAGATGCCCATCGTGGGATCCACCGAGGCAGACGTAAGAAATTACATCACAAAGTCACAAGGGACATTTTTTAGCCAAAGACAAGTAAATAAATAAATAAATGATCTCACTCTCTGACGGATTTGATACAGATTCCTGGATAATATGTCTCGAATTTCATCCATTTCACCAGGCGTGAGCTTCCTTATTTTTCCTTCACGGAAATCACTGTGAACATTTGGAAAAAAGAATATTTCATCTTTCAACAGATATCAGCATCACCCATTTTCTTCCTTAGAGGTATAACACCATGCTTCAAAAGAAGAATCTTAAAGAATAACACTTGGGAATATTCAACTTTGAAAATAACCTGAAATTCTAAAAGTTTTTAGTGCCCAAAACATTCACGACAAGTTCAAATGTGTGCAAGTTTTCAGTCTATTCATGCAATTATATTTTAAGAAAGAAAATCTATAATGGTTTGTAATGCTGTCATTTTATGATTTCTAACACTCTATAAAGTCATATAGAATTGGTTTTTCCAACAGAAATCTAATAAACTATTTTTCTAAGGCTTCATATTTTAAATAGCTCACTATAAATATTTGTGAACATGCTATTTATAGTATGTATGTAAATACAATAAATTCTCATTATTTGAGGATTCCATATTTGTGACTTCTCCTAACTCACTGAAGTTTACCTGTAAACTTAATACCAATATTTGTAGAGTGGCAGAATTTGAGACCCTCCACACATTTTCAGATGATGTTGAACAAGGTAACATTCTGCTTCTTTACTTCTTCTTGTATTGTAAATAATGCTCTCATTACAGTCTGTTTGGCTACGTTTTGCCACTAAATAACACTTGTATGCTGCTTAATGGTGATTTCACTAATTAAACTTCCCCCCAGTGTCGTATGAAGTGCTACCTAGTGTTCCTAAATACGAAAAGGCAGTGATTACCTTTGGAAAAAATCTTCAAATGAGATTTATTTACACCTGAGTTATACTGCGGTTTCCATGAGTTAAGTATTAATGAATTAACAATAGATATTAAACAAGGTATCTCTATACGTAAAGGCACACAAAACAAAGTTTTGTATTGATTTTCTGATAACAGTTGTGACCACAGGCTTGTAGGAACCTGACCTCATATGTCTCCTAGGAACAATGTATCAGTATTTGCAAATAAATAACTATATTAAATATTGAGTATTGATCTATTTATAAATTTTACTGTGATTCCTTCTGAAAAGGCATTGAAAAAGCCTACAAAAGTACAACAAAATAAATAGATAAAATAAAATTAAGAATATAAATTAAGACTGAAAAGCGTAATAATATACATCATGTATGTCTTACAGAAAATGTTCTTATATATTTTAAAATGGACATTTGCCATTACTGTAAACCAAGCAATAATAGGAATCACTGGGGCTCAATATCCTAGTGTATAATAGGGAATGAGATGAGTAAATAAGCTGCAGAAGACAGACTTCTGTAGATTTACGTAGTTATTTTTGCCTCAACCTCAATAGCTCATCTTCTTAGGTTTTCTTGATTGGCAGTCAATTCACGGAATTTTAGACAAAGAAGGAACATGAAAGATCATTAACAATCTTTTTGTGTCTGATGTTTTTGTACAAGGTCCCCAGCAAGTTCTTGCCAACATATGTTGGCATGTGGCCAGCGCATGGCTGCCCCCAGGTTTATGCTTACATCGTGTCCTTATGAAAAAGAACATTAATGCACAAAACTTCACATAAGCTCAATGGATTGTCACAAAGTGAACACACATCCCACTACTACTCAAGTCAAGGAATGGAGCATACTTAGAAGCACAGAAACCACTTGACGCCACCCCCTAAGCCAGTCAATAGGTCTCTCTCTCCTTCTTTGCCCAAATCATGACTATACTGACTTCTTTTTTTTTAATAAATATTTTTAGTTGTAGTTGGACACAATATCTTTATTTTATTTTTATGTGGTGCTAAGGGTTGAACCCAGGGCCTTGCACATGCTAGGCGAGCACTCTACTGATGAGCCACAACCTCAGCCCCTATACTGACTTCTAATGTCCTAGAATAGCTGTGCCTGAATGTGAATTTCTTGAAAGGCAATGCTGCATCATGTTGTCTTACACATCTAGCTTCTTTTGCTTAGCACTTTTTTTTTTTTTTTTTTTTTGGTCAGCAAAACAACGGAAAGTTTATTTGTTCATCCCAGCCAAATGTCCCTCCAACCCCAGGGCTTTTCAAAGCATATTCTCCTGAGACTTTGTTAAAGTGCACATTTAGATCTACTAGGTCTGGGGTGTAGCCTGAGAGTGCCTTTCTAACAAGATCCTTTAGTTAGGTCAGGCCTTGATACTTAAGGTGTCATCCATGGACCAGCAGATTTAGCATCACCTGGGAGCTTGTTAGAAATTCGGACTTTCAGCGGCCACCCAGACCAACTGAATCAGAACCTTCATTTCAACAGGAGTCCCACATAACATGGGACAAACATTGCTCTAATGCTTAGCATTTTGTTGGACAGCCATCTGTGTTCCTAGATGCTCATTCATTTTCTCTCTGTATGATGATAGCACAATTTATCGATTTTACTAGTAATATTTTGTGTACTTTTAACTTTGGATATGATAACTAATGCTTCCTTGAATAATTTTATATATACGTATATCCATACATATATAGATGTGTGTATATATATATATATATATATATATATATATGTACATACACACATATACATATCTAGGCATATATATAAACACACATTTAATTATGGGATGTTTGGATATCCTATTTTATAAAATGCCTGGAACCTTCTGTCCACTTTTTGGATTGTAGATTGCTTTTTTGACAGTTCTATGTGAAGCAAATATCTTCCCCCAATCTGTGGTTTATCTCCTCACTTCCTTTATGATATATTGGAATAAACAAAACCTCACAATTTAATACAATGTCATTCTTTATCTTTTTGGTTAGTGTTTTTTGGGATTAAGAACTATTTCCCTAACAACAACATATAGGAGACATTCTCCTGCAAAATCTCCATAAGCTTCACTGTTTTACCTCTTACATTCAGACCTATTCCTTGACTTGCTGTATGGTGAGGTAGGTCAATTTCACTTCTCTCTACATGGACATCTAATTGACCCACGACCACTTTATTTCAAAGGCTACTTTTCTCCACTGCTTGTACTCTGAACTTTGTCATTTAATCAAGTATCCACACACCACTAGAACTCTGAATGGCATTTTTGAAATAGTAGACAAACTTGAGGAAAACTGAAATTTTTATAATATTAAGTATCTATCCCCTTCTATTAACATTGCCTATCTTTCTGTACTCTGTATACAGCTTTCTGTGCATAAGTTTCACGTATTCTCTCTAAATCAGATATTGATGTTTCAGAATGCTATTTTAAATGAAGAATGTATAAAAATGTCTTGTTTTTTGTCATCTGTACAAATACCAATGGATTTTTAAAACCATGTTCCAGACATTCAGATAAATTTTCTCATTTTATTTATCTGTAGGTCACAATCAGGCTGTTTGTGAAAAGTGACATCTTTTACTCTTCCTTTGTCATCTTTAATTTTTTCTCCTTTACCTGCCTCATACTGTCAAAATATTAAATAGAAATGATGATAACAGGTGTCCCTTTTATTGTTTCAGACCTCAGGATAAATATTCAGCATTTCAATACATAAAATATTTGCCACAGGATTTTTTTTGGTAAATAATCTTTATCAGCTTAGAGAAGGGGCTCTCTCTATTCTTAATTTGTTCAGATTTTTTTTGCAAAAGAATAAAGAATAAAAATTAAATTTCATCTAATAATTTTTCTATTTCTTTTGTAGATAGATGACAACCTATGGTTTATTTTCTCCTTTGTTCTGTTAAAGTGGTGAATACCTTTGATTATTTTTTAACAGTTCAGAAAGCCTTCTGTTCCTGGAATAAACCTAAAATTATTGTGATGTACATCCTTTTTATATATTTCTGGTTTTGGTTGGCTAATAAGTGATTTAAAATTTTTACAGAACTATTATGAGTGAGGTTGGTCTGTAAATTTTCTTTCTTGCTAGTCTGCAAGGTTCCTTTCCAGTAAATAACTTTGTTAGGTATAGAATCAAATTATGCTGGTCTCATAAGGTGATTCAGGATGTTTTCCTTCATAACATCTAAAAAAATGCATAAAATTAGCATTATTTCTTAAATACTTATTCTGATTTACAAATGAAGCCATGAAGTCTTGAGGTTTTCTTTGTTGAAGGTTTTTAATTACAGATATACGGACCTGATGCTTAAAGGATTACTTAAATTTTTTATTCTTTTGTGAGCTTAATTTGGTGTTTTTTTTTAAATTTTATAGCATTGGTGCTTAAATTACTGATATTCAGTCTGACTTCATTTCTAACATTTTCATGTAAGGCTTAAAAACTTCCTTTTAAATATGTCTTTATACAAGATTTGATGTGTCACATTTTCACCATATTCTATTTCAAAATATTTTCTGATTTTCATCATAATTTATTTGGTCCAATTTTTATTTAACTTCTAAAATAAAAGGGTATTCTGGGCTTTATTTGGTTTTGATTTCCCTCTTGTATGAGAACAACCTTTATATGAAGCTTTTTTAAATTTTATATTTTTTTTAGTTGTAGATGGACATAATGTCTTTATTTTGTTCATTTTTATGTGGTGCCAGGATCGAACCCAGTGCCTCACACACGCTCAGCAAGTGCTCTGCCACTGAGCCACAACCCCAGCCTTATATGAAGCTTTTAAAGACTATTTGTCTATTTATTGTGATGCTACTGCTTATTGTATCAGTCACTGTGAGAACAGTATTATTATTTTCCACTATAATTCAGACTTTGTGTGTGCCTATTTGGGATTCTCTCTCGTTTGACTTTGTATATATTGAAGCTAGTTTGTTTTTTGCATACTCATTTAGAATGATCACACCTTTTTCCAGAATGGAACCTTACTTATCATTGTAAAGTTATCTCTTTATCGCTAGCACTGCCTTTTTCCTTAATGGACAGATTTTCTGATAATAACACTACCACACAGACCTTCCTTAGTGTTTTCATGGTATATCTTTTTTCATTTTTTGGTAACCTTTCTATAATATTTCATATAAAGTGTGTTTCCTATGAGTACATCTATGAGTTTTTTTTTTTATTTTATCTATTCTGACCATCTCTTTCTTTTATTGGAGTATTTAGTAAGTTTATATTTAATGTAATTACACCTTTGGGTTCAAATCTACAATCATATTATTTACATTCTCTTTGTGCCAGATAGTTTATGTTTTTTGTCTCTCTTTTTTTTCTTGAGAGAGAGAGAGAGAGAGAGAGAGAGAGAGAGAGAGAGAGAGAGAATTTTTTAGTATTTATTTTTCAGGTTTTTTTTTTTTTTTTGCGGACACAACATCTTTATTTTATTTTATGTGGTGCTGAGGATGGAACCCAGCGCCCCGCGCATGCCAGGCGAGTACGTTACAGCTTGAGCCACATCCCCAGCCCTGTCTCTCTTTTGTTGCCCTTCAGTTTTTTGTTTTGTTTGGGGGCAGGTATCAGGGATTGAACTCAGGGGCATTCAACCACTGAGCCACATCACCAGTCCTATTTTGTATTTTATTTACAGAAAGAGTCTCACGGAGTTGCTTAGCACCTTGCTTTTGCTGAGGCTAGCTTTGAACTCGAAATTCTCTTGCCTCAGCCTCCCAAGCTGCTGGGATTATAGGTAACCACGCCCATCCAATTGTTTTTGTTATTTAATTTTCCTTCACTTTAGCTTTTCAGTTACATGCGTTTGCTTTATTATTGTTATTTTGTAGTGGTTACCTTGAGCTGCAACATTAATCACTAACCGGTGAAGATCCAAAATACATTATTATTTTTACCACTTTTTAGAATAATGCAAAGACCTTAGAACGAATTAACACCTTTCAACTTAAAGGTTATTATTGTTGTTAATGTTATATACATTTGTCATTAATATTATCTTATACAATATGGTCATTAACATTTACAATCAATACTCATTTAGATTTTCCCTAACATTTATGATTTCCATTGTCTTTAGTTCTGTCCTTCATCTTTCAAGTTTCTCTCAAGGATTCTTTCCCTTCTGTTTGATACCCTTTCATACTTACTCTAGTGAGATAATTTTTACTTGAGTGAAAATGCTTCTAATCTAGGTTTCTGAATGATATTTTTTTGCAAGATATGAAATTCCAGGTTCCCAGTTATTTTCCTTCAGTGTTTCAAAAGTGTCATTGGTTTCCATTGATTTTGTTGAAAATCAGTTGTCGTGATTTTTCTACATTACAGAATATGGATCTTATTTTCTTCTCTGGGTTTGTTTAAGAAATTCCTTTCAGTTTTGATTTTTTTAAGCATTTTTACTACTATATTTTATCTAGATTTGATTACCTTTTTATCTAATCTAGTTGAAGTTTTTTGTAATTTGTCTCTTATCTATCTTAGAAAGGACTCTGTCAATATCTCTTAAAATATTGACTCTTCCATTTTCTCTTCCATTGCCTGAACCTTTTCAACCACATCCTGAACATTTAGTATTTTATTTCCCATATTTTTCAACCTTTTTTTTCACTCTATGCTTTATTTTGGTTTTATCTTCCTGACCTATCTTCTAGCCAATCAAACTTTTCTTCAACTCTGTCAATTCTGCTGTTCCACCCATCCAATAAGATCCCAAATTTAGTTACTTTGTTTTTAGCCCAATAATTTCAAAGCAGATATTTTTATTTAAGTAATCTCCACGACACCACTGTGTCAGTATCATTTTCTGTCCTCCATCTAACGGTCCAGTCTAATAAATAAATTATACGAATTCCCTTTGTGCTTATCACAACTGTCTGGCTTGTTTCTCTCTTTTCTCAATGTTTTAAGTCACATTTTCTTATCTGCTCAAATGTTTGGTTATTTTTAATCAATTGCTCGACATTATTTATGAAGAAACACAGAGGCACTGTTTAAAGCTCTTTATAATCTTATTTTCTTATGCAGAGAATTTAAGTTCACTTTTCTGCAGCACCTTTGATGGAGGCAACATCAACCTCAGATGGTTTTCTGCACCATGGATTGAGATAATTCTCAGCTGGACTTTTTCTGGTGATGGGTAAGGTGTAGGACTCTGGAAGTAACACCCTTTAGCGGGACAAGAGTTCCTCCTCCTTGTTAGGTCCCAAATTCCAATCTTACTTTCTAAGGCCAACTACTCTTGCAAACCTGTATTTACCTTTGAGACTTTCAGACACCTTCCCTGTAATTAAAAGATAACCTCAAAATGAAAATGCCCCCAAATGCCAGTTCCATCTTTTTGGATTTCTCTTGGTCTCTTGACCAAGAGATTGCTCACCACAGTGGTACTCTCCAGCTTCCAGGCAAATTTTAAAAATACACTTTGTCCTTTTTTCTAGTTGCTCTTAGATGATTATTTGATCCATCAATACACAATCCATGATTGCCAAAAATGCAATTTCTTTTTACCTCCCTAATTGAGTCTATTTTCCTTTAGAGAAAATATTTTGGGAGAAGTAGAAGGGTCAGTATGGCACCCATTTATCTGTCCCACTCTGAAGCAGGCCATACATTTTTCTACCTATTCTCTAACTTTAATCCTCACCATTACCCTACTGATTACCAATTTCAAAATGAACTATTATCAGAAAGGAAAATTGAGATGCCCCTCATCTGAGATCACAAAAATCAAGTCTCTTTTAAAAAGCTGTTTTACTGAGTTCCTTGCTGTAACTGTAAATAGGATAGTGTTTAAGAAAGACCATAAAAGCCAGGCACAGTGGGACACTGCTGTAATCCCAGCAGCTCCAGAGGCTGAGGCAGGAGGATCACAAGTTCAACACTAGTCTCAGCAACCTAGCGAGGTGCTAAGCAATTCAATGAGACCCTGTTTCTAAATAAAATACAAAAAATGGCTGGGGATGTGCCTCAGTGGTTAAGTTCCCCTGAGTTCAATCCTCAGTACAAAATAAATAAATAAATAAAAATACCATAAACATGTAAAGCTAGAAGGGTCCTTAAAGATCCAATCTAAACCCAATTCTATTTTCTTTTGAAGAATCTCAAGCTCAAGAGACCAGGTCAGGATCACAAAGCAATACTTGCAGAGCTGAAGCTCTAAGTTAGGCATTCTACTGTTTGACACAGGGCTGTTTCTGATGAAATGTAATGCCATACTTCTTAGACCTCATGATCACTCCTTTTTATTCTAAACCATGTAAACTCCCATAGTTTATTTTTTGCTTTTTTTTCATTCATGGGGTTAAATCCAGGGGCACCCTACTACTGTACTACACCCCCCAGCCCTTTCTATTTTTATTTCAATACAGGTCTTGCTAATTTGTTGAAGCTGGCTTTAAACTTGTGATCCTCCTGTCTCAGCCTCCCAAGTTGCTGGGATTACAGGAGTGCATCATTGTGCCAGGTGTAAGCTCCCATAATTTTTATAGGAGGCTTAGAGTCCTAGTAAAAATTATAATTTCTGTGGTGGGATATTATGTGGTCTTCTTCCTCTTTCACTTCAACTTTCTCATAGTTAGCTCTTAATTACATGAAATTTAGTTCAAATGAGTTTCAAGCTCATCTACATCATAAGAAATCAGTGGGAACCTATAACTTCTATCACCTTTGTGATAGAAAAGGAATGATGTTGACAGGATGAAATAACCTCACTTGCCAAGTGTGACTGTATTCATGGTTCTGCTGATAATGATTGAAAGGAAAGTCTCTTCTCCATGCTGGGTCTGAACTTCCTTGTTTTTAAAATTAGGGAGACAAACTAGATTAGTGGATCTCAACCCCACCTGAATATTAGAAACATCTGGAGAACTTTTAAATATACCTAGACATACAGGTCTAGGTATATTTAAAAGTTCTCCAGATGTTTCTACCAATTATATCAGACCAGAGATTTTGATATAATTGGTTGGGAGTGGGGTCCAGCCATCTGTATTATTTAAAGACTCCCAAGGTGTCTCCAATGTGTTCAGAACCACTGCACCAAATGTCCACTATTATTCTTCCCAAACTTTCAACTATGATTGAATAATCTATAATGAAATAGCTATGTTAGTACATGCATATTTATAGTAGCAAATATAGCAAAGATTAAAATAATTTCACTTTACAATTTGGGCTAAGGGGACTTTAATTTCCCAAAGCAAATATAATAAAGGCATAAACATCCTGAACATGACAGCATTTCCTGGCTCATCAACTCTAAACTAGTATAGCATAAAAATATAGCCTAATGTAAGTTAAAACATGACACATTTCTAGCTTTTACATTTTAATCAGAATCTCCTAGGAGATCTTACAGCATCCCAATGGAATGCAGGCCAGTTTTTAAAAATAATGATTGGTTTCAAAAAAACTATCAAAGCATATTCAGTACTAGTAACGTTTTATTCACAAAAACCATACTTACTTTAGAGATGCAAAAGAGGGGACAGTACTTATCATTCCAGTCTCTGCCATCTCAATAGCATGTTTTATTTCCAGCTTTTTATATAAGGACACAATGCTTGACTTGGGTTGGTTTTCCCGAATCAAAAGCTTCCGAAGGTATTTGTCATCAAATTTCTTAAACCTGTAAATAAAGAAAGTCAAATTTTCAATTAGTGAAAACCGTACTGACAGATAAAACAAACAAATGAAAAAACTCCCAGGTAAAAATTATTAGCCGCATTTAGCTAATCTGATCTTAATGTCTATTTTTATATACGTATGCTGGTATATATGTGTGTATACAACACATATAATATACTTATGTGTATGTATGCACACAAATATCTACATAATACATAAACTTGTACATGGATAGTTTTGTATATGACCAGAACATACATACATATATCTACTATTCACTAAAGATTAAATATATCTATATGTATATCTATATATATTTATCCCTTTAACATTTTTCTACTTCCTCTTTCAGCAAATGTGTTATCCATACTTGGTATTGCCACTTGCTCTGCTGTGATTATGGAGTAGTCACAAGCCACGCTTTTGCCTCCAACACTCCACGGAAGCTGCTGTCACAGAAGTCATTAGTGAACCCCACAGTGAAATCCAGTGGCCAGCTGGTATCTCATCCTTCCTGGCCTCAACTGCTTAACACATGGTTTTCATTTGGCTCCCAGTATACTACACCCCGGGTGCCTACTACCTCCTTCTTGGCTTCTTTTGTTGGTTCCATGCCTTCTTTCTGACCTCTCAATGTAGGAATGTGCTAGGGGTCCATCCTTGGTCTACTTCCCCTGGGCATCTTGCCCAGTTTCATGCCTTTTCACAACATCTCTATATTCAAGACTCCATAATTCATCTCTCCAGCTCCAACCTCTTTCCCTAAACCCAGACATGAACATTCCCCTGCTTACTGGTTAAGTAAGTGTTCAGTTATAAAAAGGTGAATAGGAAGGCTCTATAGAGAAAATTACCATTGAGGAGAGACTTAGAGGAGGTGTATGAATGAGTTCTTCAGGTATCTGGGGACAGACATCACTGGTTAAGTGTTTATCAGGCATCTCATACTTGACATGTTGAAACTGAACCGATCTCCCACAATCCTCCCAATCTTGGATAAGTGTGACTCCACTGGGTCCAAAACTGGTGTCATCTGTAATTCTTCTATGATATTCCATAGTATGGGCTTAATTGTGCCCAATCAAAAATTCATATGTTGAATTCCTAACTCCTAGTTTATCTGAATGTAATTGTATCTGGGGATAGGGTCTTTCCAAACACAATTAAGTTAAGATGAAGTTACTAGGGTGGGCTCTAATCCAATATGACAGGTGTCCTTATAAGAAGAGGACATTTGGACATAGTTGCATGCAGAGGGAAGACAAGGTGAAGAGTCAGGGAGAACAACTTCGTCTGCAAGTCAAGGAGATTCCTGGAGCAACCCTGTCCTCACAAGGAACCACCCTAGCTCAGACCTCCACCCCAGAACGGTAAGAAAACTCATTTCTGTTGTTGGAGCCACTTAACTATGTAGCAGGTGCAGGGCACTATTATTCCACATCCACTCTAGCAATAATTTCTGTTGATCTGCATCAAAATACTTAGAGAATCCAACACCCTCTCACCACTTCTAACACCAGTACCAGGGTCCAAGTCCTCTTTCACTGGACGTTCACACTGAATTGTGTACCTAATTGGTGTGCTGGCCTCCTGGTCCTAGGGCCTATTCTCAACACAGAAGACTGAGTGCTCCTGTTAGAATGTCAGTCAAACAGTATGACTTCTCACTTGAATAAAAGCACTGCGGCCTATGAGGCCTTCCAAAATCTGGGTCTGCACCTCTGAGCACTGTGTGCCTCTTCCTCGGCAGCAGCTTCACTAGGGTCCTTTCTGTCTTAGATACTTCCCACCGGCACTCTGGGCCCTTATACTTATTATTCCTTCTATTAGGGATGTCTGTCCCCAGATACCTGAAGAACTCATTCTTACACCTCCTCCAAGTCTCTCCTCAATGGTAATTTTTCTCTATACAGCCTTCCTATCCATCTTTTTATAATTGAACACCCCTTCTCCACCCTCTGCATTTTCTATTTCACTTCCCAGGTGTATCTTTCTACATAGCCTTTATCACTTTCTAACAAGAAAAGTAATTTCTTTATCTTATTTTCTATCTCTTGGCACTAGAATATAAGATCTACATACACAGGGACTTTTGTCTTCTCCTGTTATCACCTGTTCTTAGAAGAGTGTCTGGCACACTATTGATGAGGTATAATAGATCATTTGGTCCCAGTGTCTCCTTGTGTTCACATTTTCTGCCATCTTACCTGAAATGTCATCCTGCCATGGCTTGGTGACATGCCCTGCCTGCTTCCAGCTACTGGACTCTATAATATCATTCCTTTTGATGAATGGGCTATTAGCACATGAGGAGGGAAGAGGAGCCTTCAGATGGGCTTACACACTGAAGCCTGCACACTGTGCTTCCACAGGCCTCACGGGAACATGTGTGCAGAGTGGCACAAAGGTGCAATCACATGAGTGAGCCAGAGTCAACCCACCCCTGTCACATCAGACAAGGGTAGCTAGGATCAGCTGACCACCAGCCAAACCCTTGCAGCATGAGCAAAACCAGCCCAGATCAGCACAGCCCAAACCCAGACCAACTGACTCACAGTCTTGTGACTCATGCACTGTAACAATAAATGAAGGCTGTTTTGAGTAGTTGTATTTTGGCATGGTTTGTTGAGCAACATTATTGTGCCAGCATGTAAGTAAAGCAGCATGCAATAAATGTTCGTTGAGAAAGAAATACATGTGTTACAGTGATCACCATAAACCCGAAGAGGTTTATAGGCACACCTGTGCCATGAAAGGAACAAATGTTAACTCACAATCTTGGCACTGGTCCTTTCTTCTAAATACTGGAGGGCTCTCAATAGGGAAAGGGGAGCCATCCTGAATGGGCTTTGGTACTGACTGGCTACCACACTAAAGGGAGCGCCTATTGTTTCCCAGTTTATTTTGAATTTCATGTTAGGTCCCTGGAGCCAGGATTCCTGACAACAGCACCGCATCTTGAACTTCTTTTATTGTTATTATTGTTTTCGCTTTTTCGCTAGAGATAAGCAAAAGGAAGGACAAGCATTGAGGACAATGGCATTTGATCTATGCTGTGCAGAGATTGTGTATTTTCTCTCTCTCTTCATTTCTGCTTCTTTCATTTATCTGCCAAGTTATACATAGGTGTTCTCTTTCACCATCATTAGAGACCTTTTGCTAAGTCTTAGTAATGTGTTCACCGTGTAACCCTTTCATTTCATTCCCAAAGGATCGAAGACCTCATGAACTCTCTGCCAGGACCACTAGAAATCCAAAGCATAAGGTCTTTGGAGGAAAAAGAAAGAAACCCAACATGCCTAGAACAATCACTTATTTGTGTATGTCCTTTTTAGTCAAATAAATAATTATATATTTTTGAGAGATGAACTCTGAGCACAGTATTAAAAATAACCTGTTTCAGCACCCCCTCTCCCGTACCCACCTACTTCTTTGTTCTGCCTGAGACGCACAGGTATATATGACAATCCAGAAAATCATTTGAAATTTACCTGGGAATAATTGTGCAAGGAAATCTATAAATGTTTACAAAATTATTAAATGAAGTCTATTCACTGCTGAGAAAAGTGTTAGAGAAGGAGAAACTTTACTTTCCAGACATGAGCCAGTTGGCTCGGCTGTCCTTGGCACTCACGGTCCATAGCCTGGCTGCCTGGGGATGTCTGCCTGGGATGACCTTGTGGACCCAGAGACAGTGTCTCTGCCCAAAAACAGGACAGAGGGACTTCCTCTGGCATTCCTTTGCCTGAGTTCCAAACCAAACCCTCACCATCACAGTGTCCATCTTTCCAGGGCCCTGCGGGCTGCTGACCTGAATCTGATGCCTACTCATGTCTATTTTCTTCCCCATCAGGTAGGCAGGAGTGGTAGGAATGGAGAGCCCAATCTTCACTTTGGGTGAGATCCTAACTGTTCTGGGTTACACCTCTCACTCACCTCCTCGGGAGATTACTGATAGGATTCTAGAGAAAGGGAAAAGAATGGTTGGGTAGAAAGGGAGACACTTGGTGGAGAAGAGGCATGGTTACAAAAACAACAGAGAAAGGAGAGAGGAAAGTCAGGTTCTCTGGCTTGGCCCAAGCAAGGACCCATGTACGTGAGGATGGTCCCCCAAATGAGAAGCAGGCTTGGGTAGAGAGACATGGGGCAGATGGGGCAAGTTTTCTGGTTCACCTCTGGCCTCTGAAGTCCTGAATGTTTCCCAGGAGAAATGGCGCTTTTTTCCTGCCTATTTTTACAATGTAGATGGTAGTTTGCTTTATTTTATTACCTTGTGCTCCCATGTGGCTAACGGGGCACTCTCCTCACACATAAACTATCTTTTATTTATGAACTAAGGAAAAGCCCAGGGGACCTTTCTACATTAGTAAACAGAACTGCAAACCTTGTAAAGGTTGTTCTGCCATCTTTATAGTTCATTGTATTGCTTAATTATCTCTGTCCCTGACTCTTCTCTGACTCCTCTCTCTCTCCCTCTCTCTCTCTCTCTCTCTCTCTCTCTCTCTCTCCACACACACACCCACACACACACACCCCTGTTTACTAAGCAGCTGTTTTATTGTCTCTATTATGTTGCACACTTTTAGAGGCCCCAGCCAATATCCTGTCAGCACAGGTGAGCAAACAAAGTCTCAGAAATTCTCTGATGTTAAATTATATACATGGGCAGGTTGACTAACTTTATGTAAATTAGTAGTGGAGAGAAAGTTTTGTTAACAAATTCAGAAGAAAAAGGCAAGAGAGATCCTCCAAATATAGTTTAGAATATTGTTCTTCTGTCTTCAGGGTCCAGATTCCATGATACTTCCTTCAAAAGTCTTATCCAGCCAGCGATATGCTTATAAATGTTCCACAAACTGCTCTATGAAGAAAGGTGCCTACTTATAACATCGTCAGATCCATGATGTGAGCTCTCCAAAGCATCCATCCTGGTGGCACCATATGTGCAGAGGGGAGGCCACACACCTGGTGATCTCCTGCTCGCTGGTGAGGGCTGGCTCCTGGACCCTACTCTCCCCCGCTCTGCTGTCACGACTCATCGATACTTCGTGACCCCATGTCTCTGCTTTTCAATTTAAACTACTGCATCAGTCTAATTCTGCCGGGCTAGTCTACCTTTCCACTACAACTGTAAGAACTATGAAGACAGGACTATAAATCCACCACAGAACCATTTACAAAAAAAGTCAACTCTGTGTGCATGCATGCATGTGTGTATGTGTGTGACATACAGAAACATATGCAATCTTTCATCTAATTGAAGCCTTTAAAATATTTTGAATATTTGTGATTTCTACTAGTTTATTTACATCCTAGGTGCTCTAAATCTCTGCATTCAACAAAGTCTCACTGTGCGGCTGAATGGCAGTAACAGAAACCCTGTTGTTTGGACAGTAAACTGAGGGGCACATTACCACTGAGCTATGTCACCAGATCATTTCATTTTTCACTTTGCAACAAGATCTTACTAAGGCTGGCCTCAAATTCATGATCCTATTTCCTCAACCTCTCCAGTCACTATTATTATAGGCGTCCACCATCAGACCTGGCAGTAACTCCTATTATTAACAGATAGCCTGCATTCCTCAGCCTCCTTTACAGAGGAATGGCCATACACCAGGGTCCTAGTCATTTGATAAAAGTAGAGAAATTGTGACAGCTTCTGATAGCTCTGTTGAGGAGTCAGATAGCAGATGTGCTCTTTCTTTCTTTATGCAGTCTAGAATAGCTGATACCAAAGTACCAATTCTTGTCCAATAAGCAAATGTAGAAATGGAGGCCACTTTTGGTGTCTCGGCTGGTCAAAAGGATCCCGGGATCCTGAGGAAACTACGGAGTGGAACTCATCTATTAATAGCCCACCTCTGGCAACTGATATAAGAGAAATAAGCATCTACTTTGTTTAAGCTATTACTACCTATTCTTCCACATCTGTTATAGTTGAATTTTATCTGAAAGGACACACCATGCACAATATAATAAATATTTGCAACCCTGAAAATTGACACAAGTCAAAATATTCTGCTTCCAGAGTGACCCAGAGCCATTTCATAACACAATGACTCATGACCTTACTTGTCTCTCCAAAAGTTGTGACCCCAATGTCCACAAACGTCTTCAATGCCAGTCTTCACATGATCAAAAAACTAAAACAGAAAAAGCAGGCTAATTGATTAGCTATTACCTGAAGTCAGCAATTTTTAATTTATAATCATGACTAAACTGCAATGACCCTAACAGTTGTTGTTTCTTATTGTTGGTTTATTTTTCTGAAAGCAATAAAACCAACAATTTGTCTTCCAATCAGAGGGGATGTTGGTTATATCAATATTAAGCAATTACTATTTCAATTATTTTGATCATCATAAGAGTTTGTTCATAAGTTTGAAAAATATGAAAAATGACAATAATTGTCAAAATGGTAAAAAGTGTGTAGAAACATTTTTAGATTGAAGGAAGTAAAGAGGGAGTTTCTTGCGCCCTCTGTTGATACAGGAGTTTAGCAAGCTGGCTTGGAGATGCCATCGTGGGATTATGATTATTATTATGCTCCCACGCAGACCTGCTCCAGGCCTGGCACCCTTCCTTTCTTCTGCAAATGAGCAATTCGGTGTCAAGTTGTTTTAATGATTCAAATATTTCTTTCTTTGTTCATGTAAGTGTTACACTTCATCAGCACCTACCCGGCAGTGGATTTCTTCACTGACAGCTTGCTGCTTCTTATTAGATCTCTTAACATCAAGAAACTCCACCAGTGGCCGGATGGTTATCCCCTACAAAGAAAAAAAAATATGTGAACCTTCTTATAAAATAAAATTAAAAATTCAATAACAACTCCTCCTAAATTTTGATGACCAATAACAAAATGTATTTTGCTGCCACAATTAAAAAAAAAAGTAAATGGAACATTTTGTTATTTTTTTCTTCCTTTTTGACAGCTGGCTTATTTTTGGAAGACAATGTCCTAACACAAAAGAATAGATTAAAATGGAAGAAATGATAATAATTCTAAGAAATACTAGAGTATTATCCAGTTTGGAAGAATCACCTACTTCTTGTATGGTCCACAGAAATACTTCAACAATTCTTTCATTTGCTTATTTATCAAGACAATTTTAACTAAGTTCCTACTGCATCCATGCCAGGGGCTTGGGCATTTGGAACACAGTGATTAACAGTTCAGTAGCTCAGCTCTGAGACTTTGGAGTCTAATACAAAGTCAGATCTATCCAACAGCAGCTAAAGCAGGGAAAGAGGAATGAGAAAGAGAACACAGGCCAGGGGGTCAAGGAATGCTTTATACAGAGAAGCACTCAACAGGAGTGTTGGAAGTATCTCTAAGCAGTGACCTCAGGAAGGCCAAGGGCCAACACTGGTGAGGGGCATGAAGTAAATCTGGGCATGTTCATGGATGAACTTGTGAAATGGAAAGAATAATCAGCTCTTCAGTAAAAAAAAAAGAAAAAAGAAAAAGAAATTCCCTAATGTGTCCAAAGTTTTCTACCACAGTGTGACAGCGAATATCTCAATTAATGATAGAACAGTGAAAGCATTTCCATGAGAGAGCTCCCTGTCTGCCATTTAGCACAGTTCTGCATGTCCCAGTCCATTCAACAAGAACAGGCAAGGAAGGGGTAGATAAGAAGATTTTTGTTGCTATAGAGGATGATCTACTTTTCTGTCCACAAAATGAAGATAATCCTTTTTCATTTAAAAATAACAAGAAAGATTTAAAAAGTGATGAATACATAATGAACTTGCATGATCCATTCCATATACTTATTTAAAGATGTAAAAGAATATGTATTAGCAATGAAAAAAAAGTAAAACCAGGACATATTAGTATACAATAATATGTTAAATATATTAGTATGTTATAAAGATAGTAAGCACACACACACACATTAGATACATGTGTATGTGTGCATGTCTGTGAATATAGATTTGGATATACACGAATCCTATAACAAACACATAAACTCTTATGAAGCAAACTATAACATTTAAAGGATATTTGAAAGATTTGAGTGTAAGAAAAAGGCATATACAGTTCCTAGATAGGATAACAATATTCTGATGACAAATTGCTTCTCAATTATCATATTTATGCAATGTAATTCCAATACTATATTGACAAGGATTTTTAACAGAATTTGAGAAATTGATTTTAAATTAACCTGAAAGAGTAAATGTAATCAGAAAATTGTAGAAAAAGGAGGGTGAGGGGGGAATTTACAGATACAGAATGAATCACTAGCCATATACCTAAAAGTATGTGACAAGGCACCAAAGTAGGGCAGTTGGGGAGGCAGTGAGAGAGGGGGTGCAGGAAGTCTGCTTAGGCTCTTGCTCCATGGGTAGAGGAGAGGAAGGAATATTGAGTTTGCGGGAGGGGAGTGGAAGACACAATAAGGTCTAATCCATAGCATTTTGATTTCTTTCTTAAAAGTCCACATGTCTTTAAGAATGCATTTGACAATGTAAACACACATACACACAACTTTCTTTCTTTTTGTTTTTTTTTTTGCGGGGGCTGGGGGGATACCAGGGATTGAACCCAGGGGCACTTAACCACTGAGGCACATCCCCAGCTTGTTTTTTAAATTATTATTTGTTTCATTTTGAGACAGGGTCTCAGTACGTTGCTCAGGGCCTCACTAAGTTGCTGAGGCTGGCTTTGAACTGGCAATCCTCTGCTTCAGCCTCCCTCCCGAGATGTCGGATTATAGGTGGGCACCACCACACCCAGCACACACACACACTTTTAAAAGGAGGTCCTAGGTTTTGTTCCATCCATCCAGCTCTGGGCATTTTTCAGCTTACTTTCATTTCAACTTTCTGAAAGGCAAAGTGACCTTGGCCAAATTTGGCAATTTGTGTTCTACTTGTATTCCAGTCCACTACTTTGCAGTAACAGGAAGTAATAACAGCTTCCAATCAACACACATTCTGTCATTTTTAATTGATGTAAATTAAAATGGGCCTAAACATGTGGCTTTCAGAGACGGCTGAGATCGCTGAGTTGCATATTCCAAAAGGCCACTTGCATGATAATAATTCAAGGAAAAGTCAAGAGAATGCAGGCAACTTTGAAACTTGTACAATATCTTTTACACTAACTGCCGCTTCCCATGTTTGTCTCCCTATCAGTGTTCAGTTAGTAAAGAACAAGTGAGTGTCCAGTGTTTGGAAATACAGAGAATAAAAATAAAAGATAGGGTGTGCATATATAAATATGGAGCAATAAATCCCACCATATGTACAACTGTAATACACCAATAAGAAATATGGAAAAATACCATTGAGTACAGTGGTGCACACCTTTCATCCTAGCAGCTGGGGAGGCTGAGTCAGGAGGATCAAGAGTTCAAATCCAGCTTCAGTAAAAGTGAGGTGCTAAGCAACTCAGTGAGACCCTGTCTCTAATAAAATACAAAAATGGCTGGGGTTAAGTGTCCCTGAGTTCAATCCATGGTACCCCCTAAAATATATATATATATATATATATATATATGGAAAAAAAACCCAGACAGGGCCCATGCCCAGTCCCAATTTTCACATTGCTTTCTTCCACTAGACAGATAATCTGGAAGTCAATGTGCTAATTGAATAAGTCACAGCTCATCAACTCCAAGAAGGAAGTGTGGATACCACCCAGATCAACTCAGGTTTCTAAAAGTATGACATAGTTAAGTTTATCATTAATAAGCATACAAATGTGAGCTTGTGTAGAGTTCCTTTTAATATCTGCCCCATCTCCTTGAATAATTTACAGCTGTCACTGTATGTTGCCTTCTCTCCCCTCTTCCTTTCCTTCCTCCTTCTGTCCAATGGAGGCAGAAGACATGGCATTTGTGGATGCCACTTTTAGCTAAGCTGACTGTTATAGTCTAGGAACCAGGATCTCTGGTGGGGAGGAAGTGAGAGAAATACAAACACACACAAACCAAAAACATAGGTAACCTTTGACAAAGCACCTTATTTGATCACCGTGGAACATTTTTAGTTAAGTCAACTGGAGAGCAATTTGATAAGGCTTAGAAAAGTAAGTTAAATTTTCTCCTGTTCATTTGGCTTTGGCACAGTCAACATCATACCTTACAGGCAGGATGAACTGTGAGACTCACTGGGCAGCAGTGCAGGAGAATAATAGGGAGGTGAGATTTGTTTTCCCTCTGGTTCTGTCTCTGCTTTCCTCCTACTCTACATTCCTCTGCTTACATTAATGTGATGGAGAAAGAAAGAAAGGGGAAAAACAAACAGTTGTGTGGTTAAAATGAGCATTCATTTGGTGTGTTCTTTGGTGAGGGGATGAATTATTGTTTTGGAAATCAAACAACAAAGGATGAGGAGAAACTGCCTTCTACCTCCTTGCAGACTTAGCAGTCCATTCCCAGAAAAACTTGAAGAAACTATATTCATTTATTTTAGAATGTCCCTACCATTGCTAACCTATCTTACATAAGACTTGATCACAAAGATTTCAAAACCAGTTGCCCAACAGCATTGTTTGAGAATGGCATACGTGGAATAAGAATCATAGAGGGTTGGAGCATGTGTCCCTGGCCCCTGGTTGTTGGTCTTTGAGCACTCACCACCCTGCACAGTGGTGACCTGTAGGACATCCATCTTCTCCTAAACCACTTCTTTTACTGTATCACTGTATTTAAATAGGACTTATACTTTGAAAAAAAAAAAAAACTAAAACAAAGCCATCTTTTGACAGACATGCTCCTCTGCTCACTATCCCTTTCTCTGCCAGACTTCCATGAAATTTCCAGTATCATCTTTCTCCAACGTCTCTCTTGTTCTTCTTGAACCCCATCAGTGGAGTTTCACCCTCACCATCCAGGACCCCTAAGGGTCCTTGTGAAGGGGCTGCTCCTCCCCACATTGCTGTCTCCCACAGTCCACTCTCCATTCACTCTTTGCTTGAACTCATAGCTGCTTTGGCAGAGTTTCTAGAACCTTCTCGAACACTTCCTTCAGTAACGCTGCACCACCCCCTCCTGCAGCTAGTTCTTTACTATTCCCTTTGTTCAATCTCCTCCTTGCAACCTAGCTCACCAAGGTTCTCAACATCTTCTCAATTCTCCAATATTGCAGGGTTTCAGGGTTCAGTCCCCAGTGCCTCTTTTGTATACTCCCTCTCCATCATTTGCTGAATGATTTCTTCCAGACCCAGGCTTTCAAAGCTGCGTATAGACAGATGGATTCCCAATTTACATTTCCCACTCTGGCTTCTCCCATAAACTCCAGGCTTATGCACACTTGCCTATTCAACATCTCTTCCAATGGGTACACATCTAAGATTCAACACTGGATTTTCCTTCAAACTCAATAGCGCCCTCAGTATTTTCCACCAAATTAAATGCCACATTCTTTATTTGATTGCTCAGTCAAAAATACTAGGAAACTTATTGTTCTTCTCACTTCCTAAATTATTCACCTACATCTTTCCATTTTAAAAATGCCTAATTATTTTGCTTATCTTATTATTGGAGTAGAATAAATTATTCTGAACTCTGTGGAATTCTACCTAGTAGTGGTATGTTCATTAAATAAAGGGACAGTGTCATCATGAAATAATATATATGACATATGAAAAGCACATTTGAAGGTCCTCACAATGTTTATAAACTAGTGGGCATCATCCTTTCAGTTTGAGAGGTTAAATTAAAAAAAAAAAGTTTATTTAATTGTCAGGATACCACAAGCCCTGAGTCCCCTATGTTTTTGTAGGGGGCACTGAGAATCACCACTTTTTACCTGG